AACTATGCATCAAAGAATCGAACGATCACCAGCGGTTCGAACTATGTACCAGCGACCGAATCGTCTTTGGAAGTGGTGAGAGTCCCTGTCGTTTGCACTTCAACTCTCGCCACTTCCCCAGGTTCACGTGAGCATGAGTGAGCGAGAGGCTATGAAAGCCCGGAAAGTGGCGCGAGTCAACGTGCGAACGAGAGGGTCTCCTGCCACTTTCAAATACTCTTCAGGCGCTGGTACACAGTTCGATTCGCTAGTGCATGTTCGCCTCGCTGGCGCGTCGCTCTTGCCCCGCGACTCGCTAGCTACCCTCGCCTTCAAATAACCAGAAATTGTGCAATTGCAGAAATTGACGTGGCATTAACGTGGCATCGATTCAAGAACATCTTTGAGCACACGTGATGTCACCTTTTCATCGAGAATTTAGCCACGTGTGCCAATGCCACGTCAATTTCTGCAATTGCACAATTTCTGGTCATTTGAAGGCGAGGGTAACTGGGTACGATTACGAGGGTACGATTCGCAAAGTCAGACGCCGGCCAAACGTTGGAACGTAGTGAGCGTCTATGTTGTGGGTCGCATTCCTCAGGTCGGGAGCTCTATAGAATTTTTTGACAGCTACTGCGACGCGACATTCGTTAATTCTGAGCATGAGAATGGATCACGAGCTATAGGAACTTTTGCAGAATTATCGCGGCAATCTTCATTCCCTCTCTGTTACATGCTTCCATGGAGTAATATGGTACGGCTTCGTAGGACAATTTGTACAGAAGAGAGTTCATGTTATCATCATGTTTAGAGGAAAAGTTCTCATTATCGTGAACGTAGCTTCACAGTGCGGCCTTACGAATTCAAACTACACACAGTTTAAAGAACTGCTTGATAAGTACAAGTCGCAGGGATTGGAAGTGGCTGCTTTCCCATGCAATCAGTTTGGTGGAGAGGTACGGTTTCTTTGTTTTTTTTTTCGCTCAACAGAATGATAGGGTAATGTTCAGGAACCCGCTTGTGAACTTGATATCAAGAATTTTGTGACCGATAAGTTCAACTTTGAGCCAGATCTCTACGCCAAGGTTAACGTTAACGGTGACAATGCCGATCCCCTCTTCAAGTATTTGAAGAAAGAGCAGGTGACTTTACTTCTTTTGCTTATTTTCAAGCTAGAATAATAGTGGCGCGGTTGAAAGTCGTTGCTTAAGAAAAGCAGCTTGGAGCTTACTTCTAAACGAACCAAAACCAGAAGGGAATGTAGAACGCTCAGTCGCGGCATAACAACAAAAGACTGCTGATCAGTGTCGACGACGATTTTTGCAAGTAAAGAAGTCCATTCTGTCTGCAAGGATTGCCTGCATGATTACACATTGATATCGATTCGCTGGGGGGGGGATACGAGCATTTGACGATCAGTTTCACTAAAGGTCGGGCGAGTCATATGAAGCAAATCGTTAGCTAAAATAACTGAGCTAAACCAGACTGACCAACTCAGTGGACGAGCATGCTTCTAAATGGCACTACAACTCGATGTGGAACGGTACAAAGCGTATCTCGACGCCAAATATTGTTACTATCTTGTTATCAGTGTCAGGAGTGATAATAATCAAAATTATCGAAGTTCTTTCTGTACTTGTTCGAAGTAGAATTTACGAATTTTACTGACTGTGAGATGTTCGCAGATTTGCTGTTTTCGACTTTCAGCATCGGAAAATTACGACAGGAAACTGCTTGAAACCCTTGGACGGACGTC